TGCCATCGCTGTACAGGCTTTATCTGGTGGGACTAAAAATGAATCTCATCTGAGCATATGCCATGGCAATAGCGATAAAATGGAGATGTGACGTCGCGTTTGTGACCTATGGGAGAATTGCTTTGACACCACATCAATGTTAGAGAACTGTTTCTTTATCTCGATAAATGCTATATGTGCTAAAGCATATAATGGTCTGTGGGTAATACGTTAGGTTTTCAGGCGGATGAAACGAGTTTCTTGAGTTAAGCGCTTGAATTGATTGATTGGTCTTTGATTGTGTAGACTGACGCAGAATGACAAACTGATCAACTCTCTGATGAGACGAACTAGGGAGGATTGGTTTCAAGCCATTCGATGTAGATTTGTGACAGAGATGGATGTTTCGATAAAGACCAAAAAAGGTGAGAAGGTACTGAAAGGTCTGCGCGAATTAAAATGGTCAAATGCTTCTTGAAACCCGTTTCTTTAGAGGCCCAAATCACTACATGGCGATAAAATTCTAGGCAATGTACACTAGATCATGTCACTCTTTATCTCTTAGTTCCTCTCTCATATAATAATGCGAGATAACCCCCCACAAAAAAAAAACAACAAAGACGGCTTTGATGCAGTCTATGATGGGGTCTGAAAAAAGAACTAAAAACGCAACATCTTTAAGCTGCTATAAGGATTTTTATACTGATATTGTAAAAGTAAATCACGACTCTAAAAAAAAGACTTATATATAATGACTCAATAATAAAAATGTGTAATAAGATTTAAAAAAAATAGAGACTAACTTCGCAAATCCCGTTTGTACCAGAATATTATCAATGTCATTTTAAATAATCAGTTTGTTCATTACCAAAGTGGGAGAAAATTGCAAAAACGGTGTCAACTTTAAAAAAAATGGTATTGGTAATATTAGCCGTTTCCTTATAAGGAAACATTCATTGACCATTGCTACTCGAGCCAACTAACATTCTCCTTATCTCAAATGACAATGGTAATATTAGCCATTTCCAAATAAGGAAAAGTTGACGTTCATTGACCAGTGCTACTCAAGCCACCTGACTTGAATGAAAGAGTAGTATATGTTTTTCTTATCTCACATGGAAATAGTAATATTAGCCGTTTCCAAATAAGGAAATATTTGACATTCATTGAGTTGTGCTACTCAAGCCATAAGACTTGGATGTTTTCCTCATCTGAAATGGTAATGGCAATATTGGCCGTTTCAATTATAAGGAAACATTCGATATTCATTGACTTGTGCTGCTCAAGCTATTTGACTTGGATGAAAGTGTAGTAACTGTTCTCCTCATCTCACATGGAAATAGTAATATTAGCCATTTCCAAATAAGGAAATATCTGGCATTCATTGACTTGTGCTGCTCAAACCATCAGACTTGGATGAAAGTGTATTATCTGAAATAGTAATGGCAATATTGACCGTTTCCTTTTAAGGAAACATACGACAATCATTGATCAACTTAGAGTGATACAGTCGTTGAACTTTATCATCTCTTTCTCTTAAAATAGTCTTTCAGGAAAGTAAGCGTCTCAAGTCCACTAAATGTTATCTCTGTTCCCTTCCTAAGCTTTTGTTTGAAACAATAACGTCTTGATAATGCCATTGTTTCTTCTTGAACTTTTATAAGTTATTAAGTAATGTGGTTTTCTTATTCAGTACTGTAATTTGAGATTTTGTAGGGCCAATCTACGAGTTTCAAAAAAGTGTCATCTTTTCTAAGGCCTACATTCTTCATACGCTCCAAGACATTTCGAATCATTGATCGCAGAACGCGATTATAGAAAGGTGATAGGTTAAATATTTGTAAACGATCTTAGTGTCTTGAAAGGAATCCATATGCAAATCTCGATCGGGCAGGTCTATTTAAGAACAGAACTCGAGTGTTGAGGTGAATGTTTTGGATTTGTAGTGATTCGTTGGGCCGTTTTGAACCCACGGAAAGATGGCGCGTTTTGACGAGGCTCCCAAAAATTAACGGATTTTGAAATTATCGTTTAAATTATTTCATTTATTAGATATATTATGATATATTATTGTTTGAAGTTATATATATATATATATATATATATATATATATATATATTATTTATTTAAAAATATGATTCCAAATCGCTACATAAGAGGTCTCATGTTTCAAAACAAGAGCCGAAAACTTCAATATAATCCTTTAAATTAAATTGAGTTGAAAGTAAAATGGGCTCCGTTCCATCTTCAAGCGAAATTTTTGTTGGAATAACGTATATCTGAAATTTACTTGTTTTAAAATTGAAATCAAAATCCCCATGGTAACAGCTATGGTGAATTGTCTAAATTGGGTAGGCGAGTGTAGGGTGTTTATAATAAGTAGCGGTATAGAGATACTTTCAAGGTGTCAAGTCAGGGAAAGGTGGGGTGTCAAAAATGAAACGGAAGATGTATTGGCCATCGTCTAGTTTGCTTGTCTATGGAGATTTATTTATTTTATTTTATTTTATTTTATTATGAAAGGGAATTGTGCATATAAAAAAAGAAAAACTTTCGTAACGTTTGTTTTTTGACGACTTCATAAAGGGTTATCTTATATGTAAGGTATTTAAACTACTAATTCAGGCTATGGATTATGAAGTGTGTTATGTTGTATGCATGTTTGTAGTTAATTATTCCTACTATGAATCTGATGATTGGGCTATTTGTTAAACAAGTTATATAAATTTTTTTATCTAATAATTCAAACCAAAAATCTGATGATGCCTACAAAAAACCGTTAACTCGTGTCTATTATTTAATAGATTATTATTATTTAGAAGTTTAATAATGTGCAATTTTTCATGGAGGCACAGAGGGCATGGTTCATCCCAAGTTTTACATGTTCTAGCCTTGTCAATGATTTTCCATTTAACTTTTGGTGTTCTATTTATTTCCTTCAGGTGCCAAAAATATTTTGATAGTGAAGTCGGATTTCGTTTGTTTATATTATTAAAGAAGCACTTATGCTGCCTCCATCTATCTTTAAAATTATTCTTCGTGGACCCAATGTATATCATATTAGTGCTAGCTAGTTAAATGGAAAATCATTGACATGTAATCGCATCCACAACTACATTTGAAATAGTAAATAACAGAGTTAATATGGTGGAGGTGGGATAGAACATCTTTGCACATAGATGAAAGTACGGACTTAGTTTGAAAGACAACACGAACGTTCACTTCAAAATAACACTCACGTGTACTACATGAAATACGCTTGGCGAAAGATTCACTAATCCTCCCCAACTACGGTAAACGAATATAGACCGGACATTTATCCACTGAAGCAGGTTTGATTTTGTTGAACCTGGCAGTCTCATCTCGAATAACCGATTGAACAATGTTCAACGGATAACCATTGTTCACAAAGATCTCAGTTAAACAACTGATTTCATGTTTCAATGTGTCATCCGAACAAATCATTAACGCCCTATGTGTCAGGGTCCTAATCAAATTAATCTTTTGTCGTTTAGGACAAAAGGAGTCCCATCGAGTATATAGTCCTGTAAAAGTAGACTTCCTGTAAACAGAGGTAATAAACGAGGAAGGAGTTCTTTGAACAAGAACATCTAAGAAGGGCAATGAACCATTGAATTTAAGGGCAGAATGAACAACATTGAGCAGGGAAAAAATTGATATATATATATATATATATATATATATATATATATATAAAATGTGTCTTACCCAAACCCCATCATACTTATATACGTGTGATGGAGAAAACATTATTCAGCGAACAAAATAGACGAACGGTCTGCGCGATGACAGTGCAATAGACGAAAGATATTCGCTACATAATCCAACAATGAATACAGCGACCAAATGCGTCCGTATGTACGCAACGATACATGGATGCGAATATATGCTTAATTTCACACTGTTCATATATGTTTATGTCTCTGTGAGCTCCAGTGAGTGAACGTGCGTGTGTGTGTGTCTGCGTACGTCAATGATTGAACGTGCGTGTATGTATGTTTGCGTACGTATGAGTGGCATTCCGACGATAATTTTTCCTCTCACTAACATAAAAATACCTATATACGCAACCATATATAAATCCAAAATTTAAATAATGAACTGCAGAAAGTTCCATTTCTTTCTGCGGCAGACCAGTTGCCATCCAAGGCTATAGAACCCGGTCTGTCCTGCTATTTGCCCATAGCTGGTGGGCGTGTGTATGGAGAAGAAGACGATTCATACCTTTACCAAGTATATTAGCATGTAAGTGAATGTAATGGATTCGACTGGAATTCGAACTCGGCTCTCTGATTCCTTCTAGTGCTTTTAAAACTATTGCTAATTTGCATGCATGATCATATATATATATATATATATATATATATACACCATATATTTAAGAGTATACGTCAGTCAGTTATGTGCCATGTGTGATACACGCTTAGGTGATCATGTACCTTTTGATACATGACTGACGAGGCTATTTCTTACTGGGGCAAACCAGTTGCCATCCAAGGCTATAGAACCCGGTCTGTCCTGCTATTTACCCATAGCTAGGGGGGAGAATAAGAGGATTAATACCTTTCCCAAGTGTATTAACACGTAAGTGAATGTAATCGATTCGACTAGAATTCAAACTCGGATCTCTGATTCCTCAATCCAAGCCGCTATTTATTACTCCACCATGCTTCCGTATTTATATACTATTTCGTAATTTCTCGTGCTTTTTAAAGTTGTTAGTTTACCTAACTTTTTATATACTTAAAAACCTTTAAATCAGTAATGTATATAAGTAATATACTATTTATCATAGCGGAGGAGCATGTGCGTCACGAAGAATCTCAATGTAAGGCTATGTCTCATGGTAGGGTCACCTATGGTGGTAAAGACTCAAGTAAGGGACCAGTTTAAGCACAATTCGACGCTCGGCGTGTAGGCGGCTAAGGCGACGTCCTACTTATGATGCAAGCTATCATTATGAGCCTGCCTGTCAAAGCCTGGTTTGCAACAGCGGACGATGACAGGTGAAGTGTTTGTGTCACGGAGTAGCGACCGATCAACCACCTCAGACAATTCGCAGCCAAGGCTTTCATGCGCAAAGGTTCTTCGTCTTCGTTTGATCATCTCTACCTTAATTGTTGAAAATGAACTCGTCCATCCGTTATGCGTAGAATGTATACTCATCAGGACAATCGGAAAGTGGATCGCAAGGTGTAGCGGTTGAGTCATACGCATTGCCGAACTGAACTACGGTATTCTCTATAACTGTATTATTAATCCATGTCTCTCTCGTGTGATCAAACCTGTTCCCATTCAAGCTTTTGGTCCAGTGTTTCCTTACAGCGTTATTAACCAGAACTACGACTATTATATGAACGTTATGAGAGGAACTATCTAGAAAATAATAGAACTTGTTCAAATAAAATTGCCAGAATGTTGTTAACACTTTGATGAAAAGACAATTCTTCAGTTTGCCGTCACAGTCTTCGAAGAGAATTTATTGAAATCTATTGTACTTAGTATCTAGCCATAATCAAATCACTTATTATTTCTACTTTTTCTCTTCATCTCTTCTACATCGTTTTCTCTCTTCTTTCTTCTCCTCCTTCTCTTTTATTTCTTCTTCTTCTTCCCTTATTATTTCTTCTCTTCCCCTCAATCTTCTTTTTCTCTATTCCTCCTCCTCCTTATTTTCCTCTCTACTTCTTCTTCTTCTCTTCCTGCTACTTCTTCGTCTCCTCCTCTCTTATTTCTTCTTCTTTTCTTCCTCTCTTCCTGCTACTTCTTCGTCTCCTCCTCTCTTATTTCTTCTTCTTCTTCTCTTCCTCTCTTCCTGCTACTTCTTCGTCTCCTCCTCTCTTCATGCTGCCTCTTTTTCTCTCTTCATCTACTTCCTCTACCCCCTCTTCTCTTCCTCTCATTCTACTTCTTCTCTCCATTCTTCTTTTTCCCTATTCCTCCTCCTCCTTATTTTCCTCTCTACTTATTCTTCTTCTCTTCTTCTCTTCCTGCTACTTCTTCGTCTCCTCCTCTCTTATTTCTTCTTCTTTTCTTCCTCTCTTCCTGCTACTTCTTCGTCTCCTCCTCTCTTATTTCTTCTTCTTCGTCTCCTCCTCTCTTCATGCTGCCTCTTTTTCTCTCTTCATTCTTCATCTACTTCCTCTATCCCCTCTTCTCTTCCTCTCATTCTTCTTCTTCTCTCCATTCTTCTTTTTTTCCCTATACCTCCTCCTCCTTATTTTCCTCTCTACTTATTCTTCTTTTCTTCCTCTCTTCCTGCTACTTCTTCTTCTCCTTCTCGCTCATTTCTTCTTCTTCTCTTCCTCTCTTCCTGCTACTTCTTCGTCTCCTCCTCTCTTATTTCTTCTTCTTCTTTTCTTCTACTCTTCCTGCTACATCTTCTTCTCTTCCGCTCTCTTCTTCTTCTTCTTCTCTTCCTGCTACTTAAGCTTCTCCTCCTCTCTTCATGTTACATTTTCTTGTTCTCTTCCTTCTTCTTCTTCTTGTTTTCCTCTTATTCTTCTTCCTCTCTTCCTGATATTCACTTTTCTTCTCTTCATTCTTTTTCTTCTTTTCCTGTCTCTTCTTCTTCTTCTCCTCCCCTTCTCCTCCTTTTTCTTCTACTCTTTCTGCTACTTCATATTCTCCTCCTCTCTTTATGTTACATTATCTTCTTTTCATCCTTCTTCTTCTTCTTGTCTTCCTCTCATTCTCCTTCCTCTCTCTGATACTCACTTTTCTTCTCTTCATTCTTCTTCTTCTTTTCCTGCCTCTCCTTCTCCTCCTCCTCCTCCTCCTCCTTCTTCTTCTTCTTCTTTCTACATTTTTCCATTCCCTTTTCATCCTTCTTCGCCTTTTCTATTCTCCATTCTCCTCAGCAGATTACAAATTCTTCTTTCCTCCCCCCCCACTGGCACTCATTTCTTTCGTCCTGACCTCCTTCCTTCGTGTATTCGCGTGTTTTTCAAATATCTCATCTTTCCAAGTTCTTGTCTTTTGTCTTCCGCTGTTTTTCCCGCTTCTTTCCTTCCTTCCAATTCTCATTCCATTTTTTTTAATTCTGTAAACAGAGTCCACCTGCTTGTATTTGAAATTAAAAACGGAAAATAA